ATAGCTCAAGTGGATAGAGTTGCGGCGTATTGAGCCGAAGGTCGTGGGTTCGATTCCCGCTCGTGACACTGACTTTTTCATTTTAACCAATACCTTACATAAAGATTAATTAATTGAAAGTATTATTAATATTTTACTTAACTGGAATGACTTTAAAATATGGTTTTCAGCCTGGAAGTATAAGAAAGGGTAATAATAAATCTTATATATTTTTCTATTTTACGATAGAATATAATTGTGACCGAGCAACGTAAAAAAGTTGGGTAAAATATTTTTTTAGCACGATACACTACTCATATTCGTTTTTTAACTCCGAAAACTTCCTTTTTAATCAAATTTTTCGTCTTCGAAAATAAAAAAAATCAGAATAACCCTGAAACAACTCCTCCGATCTAAAAGGAACCTTACAGGGATTTAGAGATTGATAAACTATACGTAAAATCACAAATCTAACCTCCAGAATAAATAAAAACTCCAGATATTAAATTTATATGTTTCAGGAGTTTTATTTTTATTTCAACCATATTTTTCTTCCTTATAGAGTCATATGTTAACCCCTTAGGCCGAACGAATCAGCAAATGGTAATAATAAATACTAATCGCTGATTAAAATATAACAAATTGTCATTGGATGTTTGCCGTGCGGCCACGACACACTTCAATGCCTAGTCTAAAAATGAATACATTTGCCAAACGCGAATCATTCTAAAATGAGTACATTTTATATATTCAGGGAAGAAAGATTGTAAAATATTGTATTGCAATAATTGGCCTCTAAATCATTGTGATAAATTAAAACAAGCCATATCCGCATAAATCAACGATGGGAATTCACGACCCAATCGATTCTCGGGCTTGCGGGTTTTCTATACTCATTAAATCACCGAAAATTTATACGACTCGCGTTAATGCTGATCTTAACTCGTTTTTATATAACAAACATTTTTGCCGTGCAAATTATCAAACTATTTACAAGCATTTTACATTCTGATCGGCATTTATTAAACTCATTTATGAAAGAAGTAAACGAAGGATAAAAACCCTTGTATTAAGTCTTATCACGTGAAACTTACTTCAAGTTTTCCCTAGGCAAAATTCATATTTCTTTATTAAAATGCTGTTTCATTAGTTTCACAAAATAATTCAGTTTTTTTTGTAAGTTAATGTTTGTCAGATCACTCCCTGTAGTCTGTTGGATGATGAACCAACAATTTGATCGTTACCGATAATTTTGGTCTGCTGGGCGTGGTCTGTCCTCTCGCCATCTTCAACGCTAGGGTCTATTGGAAATAACCAAAGTACTCGATCATCATTCCGTAGACCACAAAGTGAAAGTCTTCCTGTTTTCTGTCGTGTTTTGTCAATACTGAGAAGTTCAGTCTTAGTTTACCACGTCAATTCCCATTGCCAGTCTATACGATGTTCAAACTTTTTGCTGTAACTCTGTTTACTTTTAAAATGAATACCTGGTTTGTCAAAAAAGTGAACATTTTTGGGTACATGTTTGACATTTAAAGTTTTTTCTGATCAATTACGGTCTACTTAAAGACTTAGTTCTAAACAATTAAGTTGTTAATTTTTGTTGATTAAACTAAACTCTTTTTTATACAGAAAGAAACTAGTCCTATGAAATTCCGAGCATGAGAATTTTTTTCAAATTATTTTCTTGAAATTTGTGAATAAAGTGTTCTTGTGTATCTTGATGTAATGTATGCATTTGCAACTCTTCCCTTACCTTGTTTGAAGACACTTGTCTTTTATGTATATTCTGTGTCAAAAACTACTTTCCAATCCAAAATATTGTCTAGCGTTCCCAACTGCAAGAGGAATCGATTTTTATGGCGTGAATGGAAAACACCAGCTCTATCAGAAAATCGACTCTACCGAAAAATTCTATTTTTCTAGTCCTAATTTTTAGCATCAATGTGCTCAAGCGCCCGGAGTTAGTCTGGGGCTTCCGCAGGCGCACGAAGTTAGCGCGTTCGTTTCACAATTCTTCAAAACTATTCATCATATTGAATAGTTGAGTTTATAGTGTACTAAGGCAAATAAAACGACTAAATGACCTTGGAAATTAGTTATATACGTATAGTATATATATAAATATATATATAGTTATATAAATATTAAAAAACAGCATTTCATCTTAATGTTAAAAAAACAACCATTTCCTCGAGGCACCTGTAAGCAACGTTATTTGGCTCAGCATTTTGGCTATTTAGTAAACATGTAGATACATGAAAACGTATTACACGCTATTTACATTCATTATACGACAACACACCAAAAATATAATTTTCACAAACACGTTTCTCTTTTCTCGGTACAACAATTCGCAAGATCGCGAGTTAGAAGGAATGATGCAGTAAGATTTGACCAATAAATGAAAGCTACTGGAGGTGATTTTGTACAAAGAATGAGGACAGTACATTCCATAGACGATGGAGAACCGGTCAAAACATTTATTTATTCATTTATAAACGGATACTCTCCTTATACCAAATTATATAAATATATGTTATTTATAACATAAAAAGAGCTCATCATACTAAAAATATTTATATTAAATTCACTAATTTCGTGGTCCGCTTGACCAATTAATATATTACAATTAATTAAGGTTTTTAGTTGAGATAAAAAAGTCAATGGCACGAGCAGGATTCGAACCCACGATCTTCGGATTGATACGCCGCTGCTCTACCACTTGAGCTATCGTGACGTCGATCCACTAGTCACCAACCTCCCATCTCAACCACACCTTTNTAATTTCGTGGTCCGCTTGACCAATTAATATATTACAATTAATTAAGGTTTTTAGTTGAGATAAAAAAGTCAATGGCACGAGCGGGATTCGAACCCGACTTCATTTGTCGCCGATAATCCAATCAACATTTGAAAAATGGCAAAAAAGAGGGGAAAATTCGAAAGGTTGTAGGTTGAGATGGGGAGTTGGTGTCCGAGTGGATCGAGGTCACGATAGCTCAAGTGGTAGAGCAGCGGCGTATCTAGCCGAAAATCGTGGTTCGAATCCCGCTCGTGCCATTGACTTTTTTTATCTCAACTAAAAATCTTAATTAATTGTAATATTTATATTAATAATCAATATTAACATAATGTGGTGTTATTTGCAATAATATTCAAGTAGATAGAAAATAAAGAAATTTTTTTAACGTAAATTATGTACCTATATTGTCAAGATTTGTTTAGCAAATTGTGAAGTTGGTTCAGAAAAATATTAAGAGAGGAATTAAATAATTGCAAGCGAGGGATGACATTTGCGGAGCAAATTATTCTGTCTAGCGGTGAGTTTTTGCCATGGTTAGTATTGTGGCGTGGAATATAGAAGGTCATATTTTATCTAAGCTGATAAAGAGTAGTTGAGAAGTTAATGTAATTTTAAAAAGAGCTAGTAAGTCGAAGTGTAATCTTCGTGTTTTTAAAGGGGTCAAGTTTAACTTTGAATAATAGATTCATTTATATTTTAGTGGTCAATTGACCAAGTCACTTCTTTCAAATAATTATTCTTTTTATGTAAGGTTTTGGTTGAGATAAAAAAAGTAAGTGTCACGAGATTCGAACCCTCGACCTTCAGCTAAATGCGCCGCTGCTCTACCACTTGAGCTATCTCGACTTCGATCCACTCGAACACCAACTCTCCATCTCAACGTACCAAAACCTTACATACAAAATAATATTTAAATAAAAGAAGTAACATGGTCAATTGACCACTAAAACATAAATGAATCTATTATTTAAAGTTAATCTTGATTTATTTAGAAATCGTGAGATGCGGTCTGGTATGATGTAGGTTTCAGAAAAACATTTTCTTTATCGTGCCAATGTTTCGATCTTTATTGAGATCATCTTCAGGGCTCAAAGTGCCACTCTCGACACGACCCGCAAGAATGGTACAATTACACAGAAGACAAACACTTTGAGCCCTGAAGATGATCTCAATAAAGATCGAAACGTTGGCACGATAAAGAAAATGTTTTTCTGAAACCTACATCACACCAGACCGCATCTCACGATTTCTAAATAAATATCGATTAACGGTCACTAATCACCACACGTTAATCTTGATCGCATTAAAAACACGCAGATTTAGAAGTTTAAAATAGGAAGGAAAAAATAACAAAAGGGTCTGTACAGATGTAACTGAAATGAAACCCTAAAGGTCTCTATGGCAATTGGCCGTTTAATTTTGCATTTGACCGATGTGAATAAATTAAATCGGGTTGGTCCGAGTTGTTTGCATGTACTATATTTGTTGATTTTGAAGTGGTTAACGGCAGAATAATTAGCCTGACCGAATGATATATTTTGTGCTACGGGAATGCCGAACATTCAACCCCCCTACACAACGAGTCGGGTATATTTTAGAAATCATTAAAAAATCGAGAGTTTGATTGTATGTAGTTTATATCTAGTTTAGAAGCCGGATGCGTTAGATGCTGAAATGATCCATCTGTCGGTAGTCGAGGGAGGCAAACCACGGAGGCCGGGACAACACCGAGGCCACCCGCGGTAAGTATAATCCCAATATTGATTTTAGTGACCATTACTATGAATGTATAATGCTCAAACGATGGTACAAGGCCTGTTTCCCACGGGTTTGCCTAAAATTTAATCAGTTATAGAAGTTTAGAGAACATTATCGTTTCTCGTAATCCAACATTAGATTTACATGTAAACAACCAGTTTAATTATTTGCAACCACTGTTAAACTGTAATAAGGGAGTTGTTTATTTATGAATAAACACTAGGAGGAAAACTATTGTTAAATAAATAATGAATCTCTGGGAATGTTGGACTTTTAATAACTCCTTCGAACAACTGGTACATTGACAATTAAAAAAAAAAAAAAAAATTGGGGTGTGTGCCTTAAGCCAAGACTTTAACCGATTACTGCAGTGTTATTACAGATTTATAATTAACAAGTTTATTCTTTTTGTTTAAACGGAAAATTGATAGATCTATGAAATAAATAAAAAGTTCACCTATGACTGAGAGGTTGTATCTGAAACTTCGCGTCGGGGTGTTCCTGAAGTCGACCCTGCACCTGTAAGTCCCTTGGTCGTGCCTGCGGATGTCTTTTAGGATGAGCGTCGCTGGTTCTCGGCCCGTCCTGAAATACGCCCTGGGTCCGAAAACCTGCGGGGCAGACCAATGCCTTCCTTCCACAAGAGGCTTTCCCCTTACGTCAAAGCTGAAAACAAAGTAAACAAACATTACTGTCAGAATATTATAAATGTATTATTTAAATAAAGGCACCACGATTGAAACGACACGTGTATGTCTGTAATTAAACCAAGCCGATTTTTTTAACACATCAAATAACTTGCTAAGGAAGAACAAATATTTTTACTTAAATGTTTTATCCCTAAATGCACCGTGTCTGCCATATTAGCCGGGAAGGCGAGGAGTAAGAAATTCCAGCGGCGATTGTAGGAATCGAACTCACAACCGCTGGTGTCTTCGAGCTTAGAGTCTGACGCTCCAACCAATCAATCCGCTAGTGATTATTAAAAAAAATCACCATTTCAGGTTATTTTATTTTTTTAAAGCTTGCTGTAAGTTTTGCTACATCTTAGAATGGGTTACTAAGACTCAGCCTCTTAACAACCTCGTGTACCTCGACCAATATTGGTCTATTGTGGTATGTTCATCATTATCTAGAGCTCGTTGTTAAGCGTTTTACCCAATTCCAATGCCTCATGGGCTCCCTTGTGCATCTTTCAGGGCTTTGATTTTTCCTCGGCCAGGAGGAATCTCAACCTGCAGAGGCCTTCGCACCAACTCAGGACAAGCTTGTGTACTCCCCTGGAATTCCTACTGAAACGAGTTCTTACTCTTGCCCATTGTTGACGGATCTACGATTTTGGCAATTTGGTATGATACCAATCATCCTGGTGTGTCCAGCCTCTAGATAATAATGCTAATATCTGTACTTGGCTGATAGAACGACACAGCGATGACAGACAATGACCAGCAACTACCAAATTCCAGATTCATCGTCAGACCGTACAAACAAATGGAACAATTTGGTATGCTGAGAAAGGGTTTTGGGCCTATGAGTGATTTGAATGAATTTTTTTTGGCCGATTTAATCCCCTCTTCATTGTTGCTCCTGGTAGCCAAACAAGGGTGATTATGTTATTTTCTTCAATGTTTGACGTGCCCTTAAAGCAATCCCAAGTTTTGGACTTTATTACTGATATGGTAGTCGAATTCAGCGCCGCCTGGCGTTCGAGTTCACCGCTATTCTTTTATTGACAATGCCCATTCTTTTGATCTCTATGGAACAGTGTTCATTAGCCACAGTCGGGGCGTCGGTTGCCGCAACGGTCACTGTAACGTAATGGTCCCGGGTTCGAATCCAGCGGCCCTGCATTGGAACTCGACATACTTACAAATGGGCTTTTTCTTCAAAAACACCGGCACCCTGAGGGTTTATATGTTGCGAACCCTCGTAAAAAAAAATTCTCTACCTGAAAGTCACATATTGTCAAGGGGTTGTCGATGCAAGCTCTGAGTTTTACAAGTTGCAAGAAGATGACCTAGTTGCCTTTAGTGGTGCCCAGACAGCTGGTAGATGTCAATTTTTCACTGGGACAGTCTAGGTTCTTAATCCACGGTCTTCGCCTGATATACAGTGGCCTTAGGCTTAAATTCTAGAACTTTATTTATTTCCATAGACACCAGCTCCCGATCTTTACTTAGCCATATGTATACAAGATATCAGCATTAACTGGGATCCCAGGTAAACCTCGTTTCATTTTCAAAGAAATGAATCAGTAAAACGCCCGTTAATTTATTATTATTCATAGTAGTTGCCGAACTGCTCAGCTACCCACTAAAACCGATTTTCAATATTTCAAGTAGATCCTTATTTTGACTCGACTGAAAAAACATGAATTCCTAATTAAAATGTAACGTTTTTTTAAAAATAATGTTTAAATTAGAAAAAATAAACAAACTCACGCAGAAATTCATTTGATTTCCTAGATAAACTATTTCGAAAATTAATTTTTCAACGATTATCGATTTTTAGCTGGATATTTTTAGTTATGTTTTCAGGAGACATAAAAAGACTTGTGTACTTGGAACTTGAAAGATAAACGAAGGATGTTTACATTTTCCTCATAAATTTTCTAAAATAAAACACGTTCATTTCCGAAAGCTAAAGAAACGCAAAAGACAATTAATTAAATGAAAAATATACAAATTATATCAAAATTCTTAAAAATTACTTCTAAGATAACTTGTATAGAGTTTTTACACCGTTCTTAGACAGACCTTTGTTTGCTTCCTCTTTTAAGTAAGGATAAGTCCCTCATTAAAACAACACACCAAGTAACTAAACGTATAATTTCAACCAGTTGCTTATTTTCTATAAAAATGAAACTCCTTTGATAAATATTTACAAGTTGGAGTCAGTGAAAAAGAAAAGCGACGAGGAGCAGAGGGGGGGCTGTTACGAGGATGATTATGAATTGTTAATACTGGTGAAAAGCCTTAGCCATGCATGAGAAACAGTTTTTGTGTGAGTTAGGGATTTGCATGCGGAGCTCGATGTCCCGACAATCTTCATTATACATTGCCGAAAAAAATGTTACAAAAAAAATGAAACGAGTTATTAAGCTACACGAATGAATTATGTATTAACAAAATTAAGTTTCCGGCCAGCCCCCTGGTCGTTTTTCTTCCTATTCTATATATCGACTTTTCGATTTGGTTTCTTACGATACATGTGACATATCCAATATTAAAAATGAATATAAAAATCACATTATTTCTTAAAGAGAAAGTGGAAAATTTGTTTTTCCTGTTTGCACAGGACACAGATTAGTTTAAAAAAATTCTGTTAATTTTCTTTCAATCATATTCTGTTGAAACCATCCAAATAATGTAGGGAATACATAATCCATGTTAAGCAACAGAAAAGTTAGTAGAATTATTAAGGTTAATAATAATAACCCTCCAGAATTTTTAACATAAGATCTTCTTTTATCCTTACAATAGTGAGTCTTTTAAAGTCTTAAAGGCAGACAAGACCAAAAAATAAAAGCCAAACTTTTCAAGATTTTGTGCATCTAACGATGCTAAACCAAAATCGGAACACGTGAAGTATTTTTTTAAAATTATTGAAATTAGTTTTCATTTATTTGATAGAAGCTAGAGTTTCAACAAGACATTTTCATATACTTTTTACTCTTTAAAATATTTTTCTTTGAACTCTTTTTGAATTTTGAATTGAAGCAGAAAAGGAAACAAAATAAAACAAAAAATCAGGCTTTTGTTTAATGTTAGTTTAATGGTGTTTGTTTTAATCCGAAGAATGGAACCATTCATTTTTAATTATTGAATTTAGATTTTATAACTTTGGAAAAAATGAGTTTGTAAAGGATTAACATTTTGGACATTTTCAAATTATTTTTACTTCTATTCCCTTCGAAATATATTTTCTTTTACGTCTCTGAATTTTTCATGGATATTTAATCAAAATAAAACGAATTCGTTTTATTTATTTGAAAATTTCTAGAATCCTTCAGTTCTACCTTGAGCTTTCTCGTATTGTACAATTTTCTTTTGGGTTTTGTGCTTGATATTTGTACTTTTATAGCGACCTTTTGGCGTTTGCATTTTTTATTCGCTCTAATTCTAATTTTTGGAAAACTTTAGAACAGAATTTACCCTGTTCGATTCTGCGAAAATCAATGACCAGCTTCTTGGAAGAATATAGCGTACTGCGTAAAATTGCTTGAAAATGCGGCATAAAATGTTCTCAAAAACTTTCTAACGATGTTCTACCATGATAATTGTTATTTATTGTCGAAACTACCGATGAGAGGTCAAGATTCAATGAAAACCTCCTATTGACATCTTTCCAGCGCGATTTTTTACTTTTTTTCAGTTTTTTTTTGCCTTTCCTGAAAAATCAAGTTTTCTCGAGTAAAAGTGTCCTTTCCTCAAAATTTTAGCGTAGTTAATGAAAATTTAAAATCGTTAAGTAGATGATTTAGAACAAAAATCGCTAAGAAATTGTAAAAATTATGTGCAATGATGAAAAGAGTTTAAAGTAAAAAAAAATTGTCTTATCTTTTCTACCACCATTCTGCCAAATTAAAACGACTTAGTTCATTAACTAATGAAAATTTTGTTATGCATAACAATAAGGCATATATTCACAAATACCCATGTAAAAGTTTAGTAAAATTGATTCAATCATTTTTAGGAAAAGAGCAAAAATGTTGTGGGTTTTTTTTATCATGAAGAACAGGTCCTTAAAGCAATTAAAAAAATGTAATGATTGTCCTTTTTATTTGCTTAAAAACTTCGTCAACGTTTTCTACCCCTAGTGGTGTTATTTCTAAAAAAAATCCAAGTAATTTTAAATTATTCTATTTAGCTTTTTTCGTTTGGGGAAGACGAAAACAAAGAGTATCAACATTTTTGTCATTTTCGTATTCTTATGTTTTCAAAATATTTTTTATTTAAATATTAAAAAGTTGAAACTACGAAAGTAAAAATACTAACTTTAGTAAAAAATAAGAATCGTTCGTTCTGCATTAAAAAAGGTCAATGAAATGTCATTCAAATTGTGGTTTTTTACAAAAAAAAAAAGTGAAAGTTTTGGTTGGTGTTGCCTACCTAGTAAAAATGTATGCGTTTGTAAAGAAATTTTTCCGAAACGAATACTATCTCAAACTAAACAAACAAAGTTACACCTTTTAATATATTTAAAAAAATATTTTAACGCTTAAAAAGCCGCACACTCTGATGCAAAATGTGTAACATGTGCAACGTCAACACTTTTTAAATGCGAACTGTGCTTTCTGTTGGTACGTTATTCCCTTTAAAGAATGTGATTCTGTCTCGCTTCTTATAATAAATATGCTGCATTTTTTTCTCAAGGATCCACAAGTCCCGTGATTGATGAGTCCAAACATACAAACATAATGGACTGTTTTGTAAGAATGAAAGAAAGAGTTGAAACTGTTTTGATGCGTATCATTTCAGAACATTATGCACAACGCCATGAATGTCGCAGAGAAACTACTTCCCCCCCCTCAAAACTCACGTACCGTCGGGCTAAAGTATTCTCAAAACTTAATGTTTAATTTATAAAGTTGTTTAAATAAAAGTGAATTAAATCAGAAATAAAGGCGCTGCCTGCTTGACTGTTTATCATGGTAATAGCAAATA